AATCTGGAAATTCAAGTGGGACAGCACAATGAAGAGAAACTAACTTTGGCTTCTCAGAAATCCTATTTATAACAATAACTTCGGAGTTCTACTAAGTTTCTACCTTCTACAGAGAAAAATATGGCCTTCTTCAACAAGAAATCAAAGGTTGAGTTTATCTTCTGTCATATAGAAAAGCATCTGTCTGCTCAAATTTTCTTGTAAAACTTTGTATATCCCACAATCACGCAGTTAAAAAAAACTATTTCAGGCTAAAATGTTTGCTTTTTTTTTTTTGGTCAGTTCCTGAAAAATTCTGTCACTGGTGATTTTATATTATTATTTTATATTTTTATATTCCTGTGTAATGCCTGAAGCACTTAGACCACTACCCTGTTCTGTGGTAGTTCTATGCCAACAAGTACTCTCAACAGTTAGCTACTGTTAATCCATTTTATGTATCCTCTATTGATACCATATTGTGTTATTTTAAATAAAAATATGCAGCACTAAATCAAATACATAAATCTCTACAATCACCCTCAACAGGCTCATAATGGCCATAAATGATTACATCAGGGCTGTCTGAAAAAAAATTGTTTTTCATAAAATCATTTGCACCCTGTAAATTATACTCACTGTTAGTTCTTCAGCAACAGAACAGTATTTATGCCTCACTGCTGCTTCACTGAAGGTGGATTTCAAGCTATGTGACCAAGAGTCACCTATTTGATTTTTGAAGACTAGATCTCATTAGCAGTGTTTTAGTACAGTAGCATATGCCCAGTTATCCCAAAATGAATACCACGTCCTCACCACTAATTCTTGTTCGTTTGTAGGGCAGAAGCCATCCAACCCTACTCATGCCACATGAGTATTCTTAGCAGGTATTGCTTAATATGCTCCTCACTTAATAGACTGGAAAGCACCCCATCGTTCTCACATGACATGATTACATCACTTGCTTCTTTGTAAATACAGAAGAGGAACTGAATTAAAAATTGTCTTGGTTATCATTTGCCATATTAGCATTTCCATCCACTGAAGGGTCTGTAACACAAGTGGTATTTATTTGTACTTAACACATTAAGCTATACATATTATTTGCTATAATTCTTTAATTGGTTTTTTTTTTTTTTTTTGCCTCAACAGTCTCAGCCTTCTTTATTTTTAGCACTTTTTATTTTTTGTAAATTTTGAACACTTTACAGTTCCTCATTTTATAACTATTTTCTACTTCTGGCCACACTCTTCTGTTTTGTTTATTTTTAATCGCTGTTTTTACTGGAAGCAGATTGGTTCTTAGAATTTTTCACAAAGATTTTTAAGTTGCGAAATTGTGGGATTTTGGCCAATTGAATCTCAAAGACATCAAACTATTCATTCACAATTTTTTTTCCCAATAATTTTGCTCCTTTATTCTCTTAACACTGAGATTTTAAACCTTTTCCATTCATCAGAAGTATGAAGCAAGCAAGTATTGGTTGAATCTATTCTCTGTTGATCAATACTGAGCAAAATTAGGTCATGATTCTTGGTTTCTAGGCAACCACTTCCAATTCATTTACTTAATTTGTCTTTATCTATCCTAATGCGTTCTAAAATTGACTGCTGTTTGGGACTGCATCTACAGTAGTATCATCTACACTTTTTACACAGGCCAGTGATGATTAACTATACAGGATTTCCAGTACATGCCCCTCAGACTGAACTTCCCCAAAAACTTCTTTACTCCCACCATGAGAATCTATTGTTTAAAATATATTAATGAAGAAAGTGATGAAACAAAAAATTAATCCCCCGATGTCAGGAATAAGTCAAGTTCTTAAGTAACAAGCCAGCGTATAGTCTCATGTTCTTTGGCTTGCAAGTAACAAAAATTTATTCACAGAAAAGCATGTCTTGTTTCTAATTCATAAAACAATGAAAAACATTTAAATAGCCTTCACAAATCACTACACATCAAGTTAGTCTTCTTCCTGTTACCTGCCTCTGACATCCACTTCAACTCTTCTACAACTGTTGTCAAAACACTCTTCTCCAACTTCATTCTTCCACCTGACTGCTTCCCTTCCTTTTCCTCTGACTTGAGTACCACATAATCAGCTGATGTCTAGCTTCTCTAACCCCTATCAGTAATCACGTATCATGCAAACAGCTCTTACACTTCTGGAGAAGCCCTCCAGGAATCTCCATTTAACTCACCTACCTTGCCCTACCCTCAAAGGTAGTTGGATATCATTTCATTTTTTTAGAGAGAAGATAGCCACCACATCTCACAGAGCGAAGTTTAAACCTCTTACTCAGACTTTTTATCATTTATGTAAAAATTACCACATGACTTGCAGGCAATCCAGAAAGAGCCTACATGCTGGACCTATGTCACACAAATAGCAGAAGCAGCTGCTGAGGCCATCACTTAGCCATCTTGTAACTCAGCCACATGCTCAAACCATTCTATCCTTCATGGTGAAGCAATAGAAAGAGAAAGCCATTGCCACTTGCTCAGTGGATAATAGGCACTCTCCCGAGTTTCTGATTTTACCCTTTCCCTTTCAGATGAAGCTTTTGTTGTGAAGCCAAAGTCGAATTTGAATTCCTAACACAAGAAAGTAATAATCCTAAACACAGTGAAATTCTAAGAAGATACAATATTAACATTAAAAGGCGTCTGTTTGTTACAGACAAAAACTACAAATTACTTCCTCATTTACTATAGTGAATACTTAAAGTTGGTTTGGAATAAACTCAGGCTTTCATAGAGCTTGACATTTAACTCAGGGGAAGCCTAGGTCTAGCAACTCTAAAACAGGTAAGGCTTTGTCAGATACCTGTGTTTTGGCATGGTTTCATATACATGATTGTTTCTGATAGTGTGAATGTCATTAACTCACGTTTGCAAAGCAGAAGAAGTGTTTCCTGTTTTATTGGGGGACTCCATGTCACAGCCTTAGAATAGTGTCAGAGAAAGTTTTTCCTATACAAAGTTTTACACCTATTATAGACAGGTGCAGAAACAGAAAAAATGTCTTTACCCAGGTTACTTTTCCATTCCAAGATCAGGTATTGATCAGGTATTGGATATCAGGTATCCATTTAACTCAGGGGAAGCCTAGGTCTAGCAACTCTAAAACAGGTAAGGCTTTGTCAGATACCTGTGTTTTGGCATGGTTTCATATACATGATTGTTTCTGATAGTGTGAATGTCATTAACTCACGTTTGCAAAGCAGAAGAAGTGTTTCCTGTTTTATTGGGGGACTCCATGTCACAGCCTTAGAATAGTGTCAGAGAAAGTTTTTCCTATACAAAGTTTTACACCTATTATAGACAGGTGCAGAAACAGAAAAAATGTCTTTACCCAGGTTACTTTTCCATTCCAAGATCAGGTATTGAGAGTAAAAACATGAGCATAAATTTTATAGAATCACAGAATAAGTTTTAGTTGGAATAAAAAAAGTCATTTAATCCAACCCAAATTTAATTCACAAGGCTCCAGGAAGCCAATATAAAACTTAGCAGACAAGTTTGATATGTTACCACATTAAAATTTTCATAAGCAATTCAGAACATACCCATTAGTCTTCTCTGCTGAGTGTAGTGTTAGCTATAGGCTGATCTGATTTAATTACTGCCTGATGAAGGAACTGGCTTCTACAAAAACAAATTACAGCAAATCCTATTCCTTTGGAACAGATATAGAACACAACACTTTCATTTGTGGTTACAATATGGTTTAGTTTTTCCTCCCTACACACATGGATATCCATTTGCTGCTGACATAACTGTACAATTATGCAGGCATTTTCACACACAAGTAATAGCAGACATTCTCCTGCACTTCAGCATCTTGGCTTCTCAACACTGTACAACATACAAACATACACACTAAAGAGTAAATTAAAAAAGAGAAAATTAAAAAGTCAATTAAATTGTCATAATTACCATCAGTACTGTTCTAACTCTAACTTTTAAATCACCACATGACTTTTTATCACCACATATTTTTGTCCATATACTGTACTTACAATGATCCAAGACTGCTGATTTATGCAGAGAAAGGTCTCCCTCATGTGGAAATCTGCCTACCAACCATAAAATAAAAACTGATTTTTGTTTCTTAATAAAGGTTCCATTGCTTAGGTTTGCAGATTAATTTGGGGAAAGTATAATTTAGTATATTTTTTACAATGTTTTTGTTCTTTGGAGATATTATTACAGTGTGAAAGAAAAAAACATGTTGATAAGAGAGAATCACAAGAATTTTAAACATGTATAAAAAGACGGCAAAATACCGTAAGCAAAAGAATGTATGGGAAATCAATCTAGGCAAAATTCACAGGTTTTGGGGTAATCTTGTATCCATCAGTTTTCTCAGCTTTCCATTCTGGCCATGCTGAGTATTGTTCAAGGTCTCCTCATACATGTGATTTCCATGTATTGCCTTTTCAGAACCCAGCATAACTGTGGCCTAAAATTGCAACTGACCATAAGAGTTAGATTTGTCTTAATTGTGTGGTCTGGTAAGACAACACAATTGTCTTAACACAGAGTTAATCTGTTTTGGCTACAAATAGTTATGATTCCTAACATCTAACTGGTGCAGTTCAAAGGTAAGTCCATTCAGATTTTCTATTTCAGAAACTAATTAAACTCATTTTTAACTCCCCAGTTTCAACATTTTTAAAGAAAAAAAAGGCAAAAAATGAAGCTTCTCACTCTGAGAAATACTCACAAATTGTGAAAACAATCTAAATTTCAGGTTTTTTCCCCTAAAACAAATGGACATCTTTGACCCAAAGTGAATTATATCAATTTTCTTTTGCTGAAAAAAGTCTTTTCAGTTGACCAGGAAAATTTTCTTAACTCATGGTTGAGCCAAAAACTATAGACCTCTACCATGTTTACAACTGTGGTCCAAACGTCTAAAATGTATTGGGTAGTAAATAAAATTTAAAAGCTGTTCATATACATGCTGTAATAGTAAAACCACAGTAAGATACCTAAGACAAGAAAAGTGCACTCAGATTAACAGCTTTATTTGAATGGTGGAGAGTTGGCTTCTAAGACTAATTTTTTCCTAATTTTGCATAAAAACTGCAGATTAATACCTCAATTACTTTTACACTCCTATAGCTGAAACTATTAAATCTATTGCACTTTTTTGTAGCATTTCTGCATGCCATACCAGAAAGGAACAGAAAAACTTTTAATTGGCTTTTATCATTCCCATTAGGGATATTTTATTTCCTTCCTTCCTTATTTGTATCTCAAAATACTTAAGAAACCAACTGAAGCCATTATAATTGCTCAAGTACAATATTTTAGTGCCAGTGTTGATATAATTTGGAAAACGAAGACCTGATTTGTGGTCATCAACAAAAAGAGTGGTGGAATAACTGAAAAATCAGCCACAGATTTTGGCTGATTTTTCCCTTTTTAGTTATACTATATAAGTATATAAATGGTACAATGCTTCAGAATTAGGTCTAAAGTATGACAAAAACATATCTGCTGTAAAGGTATCTGGGGCAGGTTCTCAGACTTCAAATTTGTCAGGTAGCTGGACTGAATTCAAACAAAGACAAAATCAAACACTTCCTATCCATCAGAGACACTAGTGAGCCATCAATACAAGAGAGAATAAAGAATGAATCTGTTTCCTTTATTGCTGGTTGTATTCTTTTTATCCCCTTCAGTTTTAAAATTAGTTCACAAGACATAATTTAAGTGCATGTCTTAAAAGAGAAACATGGCATTAAGTCCTCATATTGATTAGTATTAATTCATGTTATTTCATAACAGTTTAAAAAAATTACCATCCAAATTCCTCAGCTTCTGCACATCTCAGAATTTTTTTCCCTGATGTGTTGAATTTTGTAGTTCTATGAAATTTTGTTTTAAAAGTCACATTTTTATTTATACAATTTTAAAAAATCATCAAAAAATGACCCAGTTTCCCTAGAATTATACATAATTAAAATGTGAAATACACTGATGTTTCCAGTTCAGTCCATACTTAAATGCCATTACAAAAGAATCATAACTTTACTGAACATGTAATCCCTTACTCAACAGGAAAGCTCTTTGGCTTGGTTTACGCTTCAAGAAATTTTGTAGCATATCCATTCCATCCAAAGATCCACCAGGTTTCAAAATGAGGTTTCTGTATTTCATCCCAGCCTGACAGAAGGTAAAGCAGAATGTTAGTACTTCTTATCATGCCCCTTTTTCTGCTGCATATTTGCTGCATATTTAAAAATCTATTAATGATAACTTTCCTTCTTCCAGATTTTCCTAATACCAAATTAGGACATACCAGGATATACCATAAGTATAATTTAAATCTGCTGGAAGAATTCAAGAGAACAGAAATTTGACCAATTCTAATGAAATTATTTTCCTTGTGGTTTTACACTGGTTTTGAAGGTACAATCAGCTTGTCTGAAGGCATTCTATAAAGCATAACAAACACACAACCTCTTCAAAATCTTCAATGAAAGACTACCTCTGTGACTGACAAGCAGGGAGAGGGAACCCAACATCCTGTCTCTAACTGATGATTTCTCTTTCTTTAATCTGTTTGGATTACAGAGATGATACTTCAGAGATAAAATAGGTATACCACTGTAGAATGGCATGGCACTTACACCCATATAATATATATAATATACACAGTTGTACACATACATAAAAACACATCTAACCCACCTATTAAAGTATCTTAGAGAAAATGAGACTTAACGCAGGTTTCAGGAAGAAACATTATTGCTTCAGAAAGAATGGATTCCTTTAAAAAAATCAATGACGTTTCTAAGAAAACAAGTAATGAGTTTCTTAAAAAGAAGTTGTATTTTATGGAACGTATATATCTGGAGAATTCTGGGCTTCTGAGACATGATTATAAATGAGAAAATGTTATTTTGCATGCACATGTCCCAGGGCTTCTGATACTGATTCTGATTCTGATACAATGTTCTTCCTTTCAGTCAGTGTATATACACATATACACTTCCCCACAACTCAACAAGACCACACTGCTTCCTCATGACTTGTTGGGGGGTTATGGTTTTTCCTTTTGTTTCTTCGTCTCATGGAATTCTGTCCCATATGTTGCCAGGAAACAATAACTACCAATACTTAAGAAAACAAGAGATGCAGCTGGGTGTCACAACATTCCATTGAAATAGCCCTGGCTAGGAGCAGGTTACATCTGACAACACAGAGAAAGGTGAAGGGTCCCGAGAGGTTTGGGGATGGCCTTTTGGTCAGTGTGGTTTCCGGGTTCGGGGGAGCTGTTTGCTGCTCCGCCTGCCCGCTCGGAGCTCAGAACCGGCGCGTGTGGCGCCGACCCTCTGCCCGCCTCGCCTTGCCGCGGCCACTCCTGTGCGCTGGACTCCGAGATCCCAATGCGGTTTCCCTGCACTGTAAAGTCTGTTAAATTTTTCTTTTTTGTTTCCCGGCTAACTGGGGGAGTGATCCGGAGCCAACGTGTCGGGTGTCCCCCTACACCTCTGCGCGGGAGCTCAGCAATCGCGACCAGTTGCTGCCCGTCCCTTCCCGCCTGAGCCGAGCCGCCATGCGGCCCGCACCTGGGCCACAGCGCCCCCTGCCGGCCTGGCGGAATCCCCGCTCCGTCCTGCCCCTTCCGGCGGGAGCAGCAGCGCCCCCTGCCGGCCGTGCCCGGAGCTGCAGCAAGGGGAAATGGGTTAAACTGCAGGGAGGAGACTGTTAATGGGTTTTTCTGTTCTTGTTTGTTGTTATGGTTTTTTTGCCTTGTTATACATACATACCAGTAAAGAACTGTTATTCCTTTTCCCACATTTTTGCCTGAAAATCTCTTAGTTTCAAATTCACAATAATACGTAGGGAAGGGGGTCATATAGTCTATTTCAAGGGAGGTTCCCACCTTCCTTAGTGGACACCTGTTTTTCAAATCAAGACATGACTGTACTGTAAAAACAAGCAAAGGTGTTTCCAAGTGATGGGCTTCCATGACTTAATTGAACTACCATTTGCAGTGTCTGAATTACAGCTGGAAAAATCTAAAATAAAATAAATATAAATAATAAGTTTTAAAAAAATCACTGGTGTTGGTCACACTTCACTAATTTTTCTAGTTTGCTGAACATCAGCAGCAAATGAATATATTGTTCCCTGTAGTTTACAAGTATTTTTGAGTAGACTTGAGTCTTTGCTATTGTCCCTTCAGAGCCAGAATACTGCTCAGTTCTAGGGAGATCAGAGGTTAGTTCAGATAATGTGCAAGAAGTGAGGAGTTTGGCTACCAATTAAGTTAGAGTTAATTGTTTGTGGAAGAATATTAATATGTTCAGTCTGAAATTAGGTTGTATAACTGTTGCTCAGAACAGGAGGAGAGGTTTAATTCAAAAAGGAAGAAGTAAGCCAAATTTCTGCAAGGCCTAGTCATGATACCTTATTTCCTTTTCTGCTGTTCTGAAAACTAGTCTAAATCTAGATATAATGAAGTACAAGTAACTACAAAAAACATACTGGTATCTATTTGCTTATAAAAAATTGTTTGTCCCATCCTGTGGGATGTTATCATACTTGTTTGGGTTAAAAGAGAACTAGTTTGAAGAGATAACATTGAAGAGGGAGAGAAAAAATCTCCACAGCTATCCCTGAAGTCATATCAACATTCACACAAAATGTTTGTGTGGACATATGTCAGACAGTGAGTAACACACATAAATAATCACTTTTCTGCCTCACTTCTTAGCCTGAATAACAGGCTTCACAATAAAAGAGGCACTAGTTTTCTTTCAGCTGTTCCACAGAGATATTCACTTTTAGCATAATTAGTTTATTCTCAAAGCCTCCCATAAACAGGCAAAGAAAAAAGAAATTCTCACAGAAAATCAGCATAAAAGACATCCCTCAGGAGAAGTAAAGGTAACAGAGCCATTTTGCCAAACTATGGCTTAGGGTTTTGACTATACATTCACTCAAAACAGACTTTTGAGACTAGACAGTAAAACTGATGGAACAAAATTATGATGACACTGGAGGGAGGTGGACATGTCAGAACAAAAAAACTGACACAAAGTTCCACAGCTTTGGCACCAGCACCCTTAACCATCTTTCCCAAATGCGAGCAGTTATAAAAGCCAGCAAGTCTGAGCCCTCTATTCAATATCATTTTAAGATCCACATGAACAACATTTCATTGAAAGTTCTTTTATTTACTCATTTAGCTTGACACTTCTCTACTGCTCATTTATGAGTAACGAGATTCCCAATGAATAAGCAGGTAGGCTTATTCTCGTATGTACCTGTTACAAATCCCTATCCCTTCAAGGTCAATCCTAACCTCCAAACCCTATGTTACTTCTTCTCTCAAACTGTGAAATTGGCTACTTTTCTTCAGAATATCCCTTTTAGGTTTTGTTGGCCTAACCACTGCCTCAGTTTCACAGTCTTACCCCATCTACTCTTTCGACTCCCCCTCTTTGTCCAGATCTAATCTTGTTTACCGTCTCCATCCTCCAGAGGGATAGACAGTTCTAGAAGTTCTGGTTGCTGTGATAAGTATAGGCAGAAAAGAAGGCAAATTCCAGGAGAGGCAAAGGATAGTCATGCATTTTCTACTCTTTCCTTTATTCTTCTCTTGTATACTTTTATTGAAAGGAAGAACTAGTGCTGGAAGCTGAATTAAGAATGCAGTTAAGAGGATCAGGAATCCCCAAAGGTCTTTCCCAGTATAGAACTCATCTGTCTCATCTGCAGCACCTCAACTCAAGTCTAATACCATAATCTCTAAAAAAGATTGCTAGAATTGGCAGGACTACTAACCACATCACTAATTATCCTTTTTTTCTGCTGGAGGCAGAAGAGGCTGAAGAATTACTTTAGGGAAAAAAGACACAGTAAGTCTAGAACCTCTTAATGATTTGGAGTTCAAAATGGACCTGGGATTTAAACCGAAGATGAGACAACTTTCACATCATGTGTTGTGAAAAGATAAAAATAAATTAATTTTCTAAATTGTAACTACATAAAAGGACCACACAGTTAAGGTACAAAGAATGTAACGGAAATGTAAAAGAAACAGAGCACCACTATCATACAAGTTTAACCAGATGAATACGCATCTGCTTTTAGATCCTGCAATGGAGGAATGTTTTTTCAGTCTAAAATTACAGAGGAAGGCATTAGACAAGGCAACACAGTATCTCAAAAGTACTGCAGTATTAAATATATGGTGATGTAAGAACTGTATTAAAATCCAAGTGCTCTAGGAAATTTTAAGACGGTTTCCTTAAAATTACTTTTATACCTTTTTTGATTTTGATCTGAACTCAACAGGTACAGAAGTAGTACTTGAAACATCATACTTAGGGATCATGATGGCAATAATAATAGGGATCATGGTGGATTCAGAGACAAAGTGCAACAGCAGATAGAGTTTAGCAAAAAGTATTCAGCACCTACCTTTGGATTCATTATTCCTTCTTGCTTAAAGCAGCTATAAAAGATATCCATGGAAAACACTTCACTCCACAGGTATCCATAGTATTGACCATCATAACCACCTGCCAAATGTCCAAAAGTAGCCGGCATGTTTGTTCCTTGAAAAGTAAATTAACATAAAGTTATTGAAATTAAATACAGTTATTTCTTTGATGCATGCAGTACTTCAACGATAAATTAATAAGTAATTTATATCAACTACTGTAGCAGTGTGGCAAATGGATATTGTTACTGCTACCAGTCCAAAACTCCCTTGAGAAAGCTGCTCGGGTTGGCACAGTCAGTCACTGTATCCAAAACTCATGCACAACACGGATAAGTCAGTGAAGAAAGACCAAAAGGGCCTCCTATATGGAATTCCAGAGAGGTTTATTGCAACCCCACCAAAGGGATCCAGTGACCAAAGACCAAGACTTTCTGCAGTGTCTCAGGTTAAGTATAGGGTCAGGGGCCAACAGTCTAGGGGCACAGGGGCAAGGCAAAGGTCACCAACCTATAGGGGACAAGGTAAATTTACCTAGTCTTGCATAGCACCTGGGGAGAAGCATTTTGCCTCATCCTAAGCAGTCAGGCTTTCTTGAAACTTGTGGCAGACTTCCAGGGCATATGCCCAGAAATTCCCCTAGCAGGCTCAAGGGCTTGCTAAAACTACTTTGAAACTTCTAGCATAACGGGTCTGAGTATGCCTCAAATTACTGAACATAGTCTGTTGAAACAGACATACTGAACATCAACAGTCTGTTGAAAACGAAGGAAACTCAATTTCCCGTTTTAGGCTACCTGTACATCCAACACAGATGTGACAGAACATCTGAAGTAGAATTCACACCGTGACACTCTAAAATATATCTTGTAAAAGGCTAAATTTTATATTTACCTTGTTCTTCCTTCAGAAGAGATCATTAAGATCATCCTAAATTCCAAAATAATTATTTCAGCTCCATAAAATAGATTATTCCATAAATAACTCTGTTTTTTGTATGCCAAGCATTATTGAGAAAGAAAGGCATGTTAAATCAAACCATTTGGGCATGAAGCTGTATAAAAGCTTCATACTGACATACCTGGGGTGGCAGGAATTCCTAGAATCTCCATACAGTATTTAGCATATTCGTCTGCTGGGTCAACAGACAGCTCTGTGTGCAGTGCCTGGTCAACTTTGCTCAGAACAATCTGACGGAGGGTTAGATGTCCTAATTGGGTAAACACATTTAATTAACCAGTATCAAAATAGCTGGAGTTTCACTTGCATCTTTCTTTCAAAGATCTCAACATGCATACTCAATTATTAGAATTTTGGAGTTATATAATTTCCATCTCCACTTACAAGGAGTTGAGAATAGTTTTAATAAAGGAATTATGCTGAACTCCCTCTTCTTGAATATTACTTTCCTCATTGATAAAAACTAAAATAATGCAGATATTTTAAAAGCAAATTTTAATTTAAGCTTTTTTTAAGAAGCTACAAGATATGAACCTTTAGTCAGACAAAATGCTTATGCAGCTAGAGCCTGTGCAAGCCACAAGGACAAAGACTTCTTGTTCAGGATAGGACAGTAGTATGAAATAAACACGAGTAGTTTAATGATGACCTGATACCATAAATGGGAAGCTCTGATTACAAAAATAAGGAGGTGGGAGTGATAGAATAATAATGACATGATAGGTAATGACGTGAGATTACAATCTTAGTTTGGAGATATACATATAACGTCTACAGCTATGCTGTCTGGGATATATTATGTCTGTTCACTAAATTTGCAAGTAACTTCCATATCTGCTAAGTGTCGCATGCAAATCAAATGCAGACGATACATGCAGATACACAGTGTCTTGCACAGTGCCTGGAGTACACTATAAGATTAAAAACCCCACAAAAACCACACCAGACAATAACAGACTACCCTCCTCCACCCACCACACACATGACCAATTGTAAATGAAAAAAGCGTATAGGTAAAAAAATTATATGGAGAGGAAAGATATTTTAGTCCTGTAGTGGCCTGGAAACTCAGAGCTGCTACTCTTCCTGCAAAGAGTTCTGTCATCATAGCCTTTTCTAGTGGGGTACCCACACAAATAAACCTAGAAAGACAGTGGTAAGTGCATGCACAGAAGAAATTTAATATGCTTGCTGTGTTTGTCAGCTTTTAAAATCATATACTTCCATACATATACAGTGGGGAGAAAAGGCAGAGACATACCTGTATTAGCAAGTCTAGAGGCAGCAAGCTTCTCCAGAAGAGCGTCTCCAACATGGGTTGCATCTTTATAATGTCTTGACAGCTGTTGTAGTGGCTCTTTTTCCCACACCCAGTTCTCAAACATTTGTGAAGGTACCTCTACAAAGTCTGTTTCCACATTAGTTCCACTAAACCTTGCAAAATCAGTCTATAACAAAAAAAAAAAGCCTTTGAATTAAATTAAAATAGAAGCCAGTATTTTTAGTAGAATATAATATTTAAGATGTCAAAATTTCAGTTTAAATCACAGGAAAAGGAATAATTTGAACAGACCAATAATAAAAGTAATAATTTTTAAATGAAATTTAAAGAAAGTAGGAAAAAATCAGACATAAGACTATTACAAAGGAATAAAGTAGGGTACTCAGTAGTTATATACTGCATTATCTACTGGTATAGAACAGTACTTCAATTTTTTTAGTATTATTAATTTTTACCTTTTAGGCTATGACAGCAATACAAATGTTTTCATACTATCTTGTGACAATGATACAATTTGTAAATTATTACAGATTTTTGTTGTGTTTACCCCAAAGTAAAACAATAAACTCCAACTATACACTTTAAAAAGCTTATTGTATTGCAGTCTACCACACTGATTCACTTTACTTAACCAACTTATTCTATTAAGCTTTGCTCTATTTGTCATCATTTGAAATATATGTGGTTAACATATAACACAATTTTTTTAGATGGACTGATTAAATAAATAAATAAAATAAATCCCAGCAACCTTATCCATGGAAAGTTTTCAAATCTGACACTTTGATAAAAAAATCTTTCTTCTGAAAGCCAAGCACATTAGCACTTTTTTTAAAATTTGAATTGTTTAAATTTAGTATCAGCAATGACTTCATATTTAACAGGTTCCCCCAATATCAATTTTGAAGAAAAGTTTGTGCAGCTAAGAATCTTCATTAAAATATGCTCCAAATCCAAATATTTCTAAGAAGTCACCTCTGAAAGACAGTTATTCAAATACACAGAAATTATTTAGTCTTATAGAATCATAGCATCATAAAAGTTGGAAAATACTTTTAAGATTATCAAGGACAACGACCAACACAGCATCACCACCATATTCATGATTAAGCTGTTAACCTGTGTTCTCAAGTACCACATTCAGACATTTTTTGAATGCTTCCAAGGATGTTAATTCTACCATTTCCCTCGGCAGATCATTTCAAAGGTTTACAATGCTTTCAGAGAAAAAATTTTTTTCTAAATTCCAACTTCCACTCTAAACCTTCCCAGGTGCAACTCAAGCCATTTCCTCTTGTACTGTCATTGCCTGGGAGAAGAACCTGACCCTGCATCTGCTCCTTTCAGGCAGTTGTAAAGAGCAATAATGTCCCCCCCAGCCTCCTTTTCTCCAGGCTAAATACCCTGAGCTCCCTCAGCCACTCCTCACAAGACTTGTGCTCCACACCCTTTCCAAGCTCTGTTGCCATTCTCTGGAGTCACTCTAGCACCTCAATGTCTTTCTTGTAGTGAAGAGTCCAAAACTGCACACAGGATTTGAGGTGTGGCCTCACCATTGCCCAGTACAGGGAGACAATCCCTGCCCTGCTCCTGCTGATCCAGGCCAGGATGCCATTTGCCTTATTGGCCACCTGGGCCATGATGCTCAGCTGCTGTCACCAGCACTGGCAGGTCCTTTTCCTCTGGGCAGCTTTGCAGCCACTCTGCCTCAGCCTGTGGAGCTGCCTGGGGTTGTTGTGACCCAAGGGCAGGACCTGGCACTGGGCCTTGTTGAACCTTATGCAACTGGTCTTCCAGATCCCTTTGCAGAGTATTCCTACCATCACTCCACCCTTGTTCTTGTAATGAGTCTACCCCCTCTTGCCAGCCCAATTTTATTTTTTTCTTTTCTTTCTCATCAAAATACTAACAAAACATTTTAAGTGCTAAAAGAATTCTCAGTTGTCCTCTCTAAGAGCTGTTGATATTCTTACAGTCCATCCTCCACTGGGAAATAGATCCTCACAGGATTACAGGCTTTTAAACTTAGTTTCTTGCAGGGTTACAAAAAAAGTGTCTATAATACAGGACATAACCTTGAACTGACATCTGTGTAACATCTATGTGTCTTCCTCTCATGTCTTCAGAAGAGCAACACAAAAGGAGTAAAACTTTCATCAACTCTTGCAGGCTGCTCAAATCCATAGATGTAAGCTGGCCCTTCTTACTGTCCTTGCTGAATAGCAGCTCTGAAGCTAGGAAGCACCAGCTTCAGGGAAGAAATGGCGATAGAAGTGGCCAGAGCAAAAAGCAAGGGGCCTTCAAGATATCTTCATTTAAACATATACAAGTGCACCATAAAAAACATCAAGACATTTGGTTCAAGTTACTTCAAGAGGTCTCCTTCCTGAATAATGCGAACAAATTCCCTCCCTGTCCTCATCTCACTCTCCAACAGTATATCTCACTTTTCCAGTATATTAATAGAGTATCAGACCTTTATCAGCAGCTCAAAAATCCCTCCCAGTCTCATCCTTGCATAGCATTTAACTGTGAAGTTTTAACATGCTTAAACAAATCATCACATGAAACAAGACAGTGCTTTGTCCACATGAATTCCAGAGGAGAGGATATTCTTATGTAGGACTAGCAAGTTTGCACACATTCAAATAGCTATTTACGTGCAATACAGGAGAAGTGAGCATGGCAGCTGGGCACACAGAATACGCCACAGCAGTGTGAGAGACAACTGGAAAGCAGGCCTCTCTGATTTGTGTGCAATTCCAGAGCAATGGTAGTACAATATATTGAAACTGTGGGCTTCAGCTGTCCTGAAAAGACTCCAAAACATGGAGGCACATCCACACTGGCTGTCGAAATGCTGCAGTCAGTTTTGTACTGTTCTATACCAGTGCCAAATGTGTTACATTTACAAACACCTTCTATATTGCCTAGGTTTTATTGCTCAGTTTTTGATACCAGAAACACATATCACAGGCTGAAGGTGATAAAATAATAATTACATTTTTATCTTTAAGATGGTTCAAAAATATCTAAACAAGCCTACCTACTTATTAACTCTGGGTTTAATATATGGATTTCTGTGATGACGTTGTTTCTTTATTCTGCAATCCTAGTCTCTAAGATCATGGTCAAGAATGAAAATCTAATGTGGGTCATTTTTTCTTGACCTCATTATTTTGTATTTGTTTATAGAGAAGATGAAAGAAGTTCTGCACAAAATCTGAATTTGAAGATAACTGTGAATTTTTTGGTGTGTGAATATTGACACCATCTCTTTCTGAATTGTAAAATTTTCATTAGGCTAATAATAAATTTATCATCTGTAGTATCAATTTTACATGTAAGCAAAAATGAAAACAGAAATTGTACAACTTTATTGGTACCTTGATAGAAAATCTGAAATTACCTTCAGTTCTTTCTGGTCACTGCAATAAACCTAGCCTGTCAGATAGGAAAAAACAAAATAGCTCAGGCAAGACTTGTTTTATGCTTGTGATGTCAAAAGTGATAGGTCTCAATCAACAGTACTAAATGCCAAAATGCTGGAGAGGTCATCTAGCTTCAGAAATTATTTTCATTCCTAGGTATAGCAACCTTTTTTGTTTCTAATACCATACCTCTATAAAACTAGAAGTAATAAAAAGTCATCTGAATAAAGCCATGACTGAGCATCTTCTGTACCTGTGATGAAGGAATACACTCTTGCATGATGCAAATGCAAAAGTACATGTTCCTACAAAAATGTTTTTCAAAAGAAGGTGTAATTTTTGCTTCAGTTTTAAATAAATATTAAAACAAAAAACAACCTGACACTTCAAAAAATAACCAGAACTCCGCATACGTGCTTTACTAAAATTAGAAACTACCAAAACAGAACTATACCTTGCTTTGAGAGAGTGGAGAAAGTAAGTCTTACACTGGAATAGAGACATCACTAACCTGTGCACATATCTGATGCATTACGTGACCAAATTCATGGAAGTAAGTCTTCACTTCATCATGTCGCAGCAATGATGGACGATCTGATGTTGGCTTTGTGAAGTTGGTTACCAGAGCAGCTACAGACATCAATCTGCTGCCATCAGAGAGAAGACAGCCAGGCTGTAGACCAAAGCAGGCTGCATGCCCATACTTTCCCTCTCTGTGTAAGAAAATATATCAGACACTATCTTCAAACCACAAGCTTGCTCACCAGAATGGTGAAGCCTATTCAAGAACAGGGAGAATCAGTCAGTGTCTCTACACAAAGTTTTACACAAAAAATGTACATATTTTCATGATTTCTAAGACTCAATAAGTTAAGAGTACAAGGGGGAAAAAAAGCCCCTTCTACTCTCATACTGAAATCACAACATTTCAATATTCCCAGCAGCATTTAAAAGAATCTGAATGCTGAAAATATATATACTTCAGATGCCAGCTGTGTTTTAAACTGCTACTGTAACGGGGAGAACCTGGCTTCTGTTCTCTGATGCAAATTTTTTTTTTTTATTACAGGAGACAAAAGAATACAGTACACTGCATTTGCACTGTGATGTAAGAGTTTAAAGAAAAAATACTTTGAAATTTTTGTCCTGAACTATTTAGTTAACTAAGATTAAGTAAGAGGAGGACACATATCTTCTGCAATTCACATGATATACCATAACGTGGAAGCAGGTGAATAGGTGATGGAGACAGCTATGTTACCATAAAAAGAACAATTTATGTACTACTATATGTATATTTAGTAACCTAATTTTCTTAGGCCAGAAAACCTTAAATCACCTTACATTAAAAAAGAATATCAGTAAATTTATAAAATGCTAAATATTAATCTAAAAAATGCTACACCAAAGCAAACAAAAAACCAGCGAGAAGTAGCCAAAAAGGACTAGCTCAGAATAAATCCTGTCAAACAAGTCTAGTCTCCTAATTGACAAAACACAGATGATAATATAAATAGCTACAAAGGCAGCTGGAGAGCTAGAGAGATCAACACGGCAGTAAATCTGAATGTATGCTCAACAGAAATCTATTCTTGATATTGATCTATTTGACTAGCAGTCTGGACAACAGGGTAGAAAATACACAAAATGTAAAGAGGAACTGGGAGAAACTAGGAACTCTTAGCTGACAGAAATTTAATTGATCTGAGCAGGCTGCAGTAACACTTCAACAGAAATGGAAATTAAAATCTAGTAGTATGCTAGAAAGGAGAAAAGCTTGTAGATGCGAAAAATTATGGACAACTCACTAGAGAGCAGTACTACCAAAAGTATGAATGAAGAAGCAATGCTTCTCCATGCAATCTTCAATGAATATGAGCCACTATAAACAAATATAGAATATAAGAAATATGGAAATATTTTTTATAAAAAGCGTAAAAAAACCTGAACACAGTCCAATGAACAACTAAATGAACACAGTATTCATCTTGTCAGTGGAACAAATATTTACTTCCAAATGCATTTAATTTTAACTAAACAAGCAGCAACCCATTAAGACAAATTCCATTTTAAACATGTAAGCAAAACACTAAGTCATTACCTGGGGTAAAGATCCAAATAGAACTGCCCTAGCATTTCTCCTGTTGATTTATCCTTTACTGTATAAAGAGTAACACTGTCGTGCCAAACATGAGCACTTTCTATTTGCTCAAATTCAAGTCCCAGCAGCTTCTGGTAAATATTCAGTAAGCCTTCTGTAACAGCCTCAATTGGGAAGTATTCCTTCAGTTTTTCTTGATCTATGGAGTACTTCAGCTCTTCAGTTTTGCTCATATAATAATGAAGATCCCACGCATTGATTCTTCCGTCATACTCAAAATTTCTTTCTTTACATTCCTTCTTCTTCAGATCTAGAATGAATTGTCTTTCTTCCTCAGCCAAAGGCTTCAGCTTTTTACTCAAATCATCTAAAAGAAAGATTGCCTTGGAGTCAACTTCCATGTTTCTTATCTATTACTATAAAATACATTCAACAGTTAAAGCACATACTCCAGAAGTGTGTGTTTTCCATTCATTCACCAATAGCAAGCAACATCTGTTTTCTTGTCCTAAGAAGTCTTAATTGCAGGCATGCTATAAATGATACAGTACTCCATGTAGGCCAAAGAGCAGTGTGAAAGGTTTTGGTAAATTTAGACTTTTTCCAAGTCATCATAAATTAAAAGTAACACTAGATATTTATGCTTGAATCCTTTGATTTTACCTCATATAATCTCAGTATTCCTTATATATTTCTTCAGCAACAGAGAAAGACTACAACTACTGTTACTGAAAGGAAGTGCAACACAAAACTCAGTACTTCTAGCTAAAGTCCTATAAAAAACCCAAAAGACCCAAGAATTTTTACCTATGGGATGCCTGGCTTCTACACTAGCAGAGCTTCTGGATTTTAAAGTCTATGATTCAAATTTTTCCCAGCATATTTTCCTTGGACAAGAAGGCATCATAGCACTATGAAGCAGACACACTGAATATAAAATATTATTTTATTATATTTTTTATATTTAAATTATATTAATATTTTAGATTTGATTTTATTAAATATAAATTATATACTTTCTATTTATGTTAATAAAATAATTATAAAATATTACTGACACTTCCATACAGTACATTCTGTACTTATTCTCTTGTAAATATTTCTGGTCAATCAGAAACTTTTTTTTTCATTAAGAATTCACATTAATGTTCATTATTGATACCTAGAGTGTAAAATTTAGGAATTGTCACTCCTGCTCCCAGTAAGCATGTTATGCACTAAATGCATTCACACGACTGAAATACTGTTTGCAGCTTGTACTGTGCTAAATTCAGAATATGTCATAGGAGAGAATGCTCTTCGTCATAGATGTAAGATAGCTTATGAACATTTGATTTAAAACATGGATAGGAACAAAGTAGAGCAAAACACACTGTCATGCTTGTAGCTGAGACTATACCAAAAGGACTAAATAAAAAGTGACAATTAATTTGATGTATATTCTCCCTGTGAGAATTACCATGAAGCATGATATTTATGAATAGAAAAGTATCTGATCTCATACTGTAAAAAACACAGCTGCTAGCTTATGTGTGTCAGCTTCAAAATAAATTAAAAAACACAGTATTACAATAATATAATGGGAAAAAAGGTCTAAAATACTTCAAATACACTTAAAAACAATAACATTTAATAATAAATTAAAAGCAAGTTTTCATTAATTGTCAAGTATATTGAAAATTGGTATTGCCAAATATGGATCTTCAGGAAAAATACATCAGAATTATGGATTTAGAAAGAGGAGCATATGAACGTCTTTATTGAAGCATAAGCACAAAACCCCACTACCATGAAACACACCGTATTTTTGTACTAATTTATTTGTGTGGGGTTACTTGGATGATACATCAATATACACTCCTGTGTGGTGTTAGGACACAGTAATAAAGGAACACATACTATTCAGTGGAGCTAGCAGGAAGCAGAAGTTAACTCTACATCCAAGAGTCCCCTGACAAACAGGATGACTCTAAATTAACTCATAAACTGCTGTGTTTAAGAATTTTAAGATACCTCTTTTCAGATCAAATACCATTACAGGGCTTTTGAATTTCAGATTTAATCTATCACTCCAGATACAATTTTTTAATTCAGCCCATGGAAATTGCATCATCTCATATAGTAAACTTTTGTTATATTTAATGCAGCTGTATCAGAAAAAGACACTCAGGCTACAGACGAAAAAAAATTGGGAACAAAAAGCTGCAATTCTGATGCAGCCTCTTGAACTGATAAAATTGCTTAAGCTGCACATGTTACTCTGGTTCTAAATGAGGGTAACTGAATTTCGTGGCAGAGAAAGGCTGAACCACTTGCTTATACTGGTTGTCACAAAGCAGTTATTCTCAGAATTTGCCTTGTGCTTCCTGATTTGGAACAACTTCATTTGTACAGTTATGATCTAAAAAATATATATGCCAAAACAGAGGCAGCAGAGTTCCTTTTCCGGCTAAGCCTCATGGACACTGTGACCCACTTATGTATTTAAATTCATCTTGGCTGAGGGAACGTGTTACTACATTAAATATACAAGTATTGCTTATAAATATGAACAAACCTAAAAAGGTTGTTACGTTATCTGTGCTCTTTGCAGTGTTTACCTCCAGGACAAAGTTGGCATGTGTATTATAACCAAGAAGCTCTGCTACTTTTGCCCTTAGTGGGAGCAACTGCTGCAGAATTTTTGTGTTCTCCTAAAAAAGAAAGCAGGCAAATTTGTAAAAAGAAACCAGAAAACACATGTTAACAAAACAATTACCTAAATAATATCTGTAATCTTATGAAATAGAAAATATTTTAAATTAAACACTTTCACATTAAAATATAAAATAAACCAAGTTTAACTAGATCCTTGGAATATTTTTTCTCAGTCCTTGTAGGTAGCTAGATTTCTAGTTGACCTTATTCATTACTTTTCTTATTATAACAACTTATCTTTTTTTAATTAATCAAAATATACACCGTTTTCTTTTAAGTTGTGAAGAGTTTATTTCCTTTATCAATCATTTACATGTGAAAGACAAAAAAGGAAATTGCTGACAGCAAGCTTGATTGCTTGTTAGTAATGAAGAAAGATTGCTAATCTATTGTGCCAACATTCAAAACTGGTTTGCAAATTTTCCTGTTTTGCCACTCTAACATATAGCAGTCAGAGAAAGATCTGAAACAGAAAACTCCAGACCTTGACCTTGATGTATTGAAGAATCCTCAAGAACCTGAAAATACAACTGTGTAAACCTCTATTTTGGAATGTGAGATTTGTCAGGGGAAAAAAAAAAATTAAACACTAGATTTGAAGATTGTCACACAGTTTTATCATTAATTCTCTTTATGTGTGTTGACTTGCAAAGTGTTCAGTTCCTGGTGCCATTTTATCTTACCTTGTACTCATCACATTCCCAAGCATTTCAAGCACAAAAGGTCAACTCTGCTATTGCTTTCTAATGCATGGTTGGTACTATTGTCTGAATGATATATCCTCTGTCCTTAAATGCTTTTTTTATTTTGTGCCTGTCTAGTTGTGCACATATGCAATCTGTTATATTCACATTTAATCATCTGTATTTATAATTAAAACATGTTCATAAATAACTCCTCTCTATTCCAAAGAATCCCAAAGGACTACAGAAGCCACAATAAGACATCCTTTTCTGTGAGGAAAGTGTCAGTAAGGGTCTGTGGAGCACTGTAGGGAAATTTCAGAGAAGATCAAAATCCCACTTCTATTAACAGAACCACTTGAACCTCAAGATGCATACAAATATGCACACAGAGGCAGATTGTCAACTTCTAAGGTCTCAGGACTCAGGACATCAGAATAAATTGGAGCAAGGCATCGTTAAAGATGACACTGATAAGTTCTGATTTCAAAATACTTTACACTGTGCAGAATTCAAACGTAACATTTGAATGTTTAGCTCCATTTTTCAACTCTATCATTGCACTGTAGAACAGCCAGTACACAACATACCTCTTTGCATCTCGAGTTAAAGGCAAATTCCATTTTTCTTCTGGTTTCTGAAATGCAGCACTTCTTCATAACAGGAAAATAGTGCGGATACTTTAAGGTAACCTTATATTTGTCTTTCTCAGTCTTCTCTAAACTGTTAATAAAGTCATCAGGAAGGCCATCTATAGAACACAATTTAATAAACTATGTTTACCAAAATTATCTAGTCCCCCCTGTTTCGGTGAGACAGTTGCATTTGTTTTGCTGCAATCTACTTTGACAGAAAATCAGAAATCTCCATAGAAATATACTTCCCTTTTTACAATCATTTACTAAAGCTTTTTCAAATTCCTCCAAGCAAAACAAAATTTGGAAACACCTGACAGCAAAAGAGAAATACATGTAAGGCCACCACTAAAAAACTGAGTAACATAAAAAAGATCTCTGTTATTAGAGCACATTTTATGTCATGCCCTTCAGATAATGAATCCCTAAATTCTCTGTCACATGAAATCTCTAGCTTCTTTTAAATTACTGAATCAGTTAAACTTCATTGCAGGAGAAAAAAAAAGCTTTTCCAATAATAACACGGGGGATTGCTTGATGATAACTGAGAAAAGGAAGAGAGTAAAGTTATCCTAAAGGAAGTAGGACCAACAATCTAACTTGATGCAAGGCAAAAACCACAGGAAGCAAAAATATATGACAGCATGAACACCTGCAAAAGATAACTCTGAATTGATTCTGGAGAAGAACTAAAAAAGAAACAGAAAAGACTGGGAAATAGAATTTCACTCATGCATGAGGCAAAAACCAGCTACTCCAATAAAAACTGGAAGGCTGAAAAAACAGAAACAGCAAGCATCCTACTCACCAAGTTCTTCCTTAGAAAATACAAGAAATGTGTTTTCCTCATTGAGGTTTTTGTTAAAGTCTATACACAGCTCATTCAATTTTTTCTTCATTGCCTTTATTTCCTGTATAGGGTATAAACTGAACTCAGTGGAAAAACAAAAATCAAAGTTGGCAATTTTTATCCTCTACATGAATGAGTAACACTTCTTTTCTTTTCATAGGCTCTCTACTAACCAACAGTAAATACCAGGACTGAGCAAACACACTGCAGGTATCACCATACTTCATACCCTGTCAGTCTTCCTTTTATGTTTTGTTTGGTCCTGAGCAATATTGTTGCCAAGGGCTATCACTTCAGCATTTTAAACTCAGCTTATAGAGGACTGAACACATTCACTAAACAGTTTCATGTGCTAACCTTCAATTGTTTTCTTTTATTTGAACAGCTAAATTAAAATTTTAAGTGTATAAATATCCACTGAAATCAATGAGAATGAAAAGAGAAAAAAGCATGTGACTTACTCAAAAACACTGTTTTGGAATTGTACAGTACAGTATTGGACAGTATGGTAGAAAGAAGAGGCTGCTCTCAAAACACAAAGCCATTCTAAAACCTATTTTAAAACCCTGACAGTCATTTTTTTTAAACGTTTTCTCATATAGCAAGTTTCTACATGTTATTTTCAAGTTCAAATAAATGTAGGTACCAGTAAGAGAATGCACACTAAATAAAAAGCTAAATATAATTCAACTATTCTCCTCTCAGGAATTTCAAAATACCTTGAGAGGCATCAGTTATATGAAAATACACATCAAACTGTACTCACTAGCAGAAGGATGTGGATGAAGATTGATTATTTTCTACAAAGGGTTAAGTCTATTCAACAGTCAGAAATAAAGGTCAAATTATAGTTAGAAATATCACTCAGAATTTGAAGATAACTATGTTGGCATCTGTAGAATCCCACAAGATAACGGCTAGTGTGTATGTCTGAAACACCAATAGCAGGATAGCTACGGCACCAGCCAAGGACTGTAGGTAACAACAGCCAAGGACTGCTGGCAGTAACCCGGTGAGAAAGAACAAGATGTGACTGGACAAGGGGCCATGCAGAGGTAGGACACCACTTTTCTGGGACAAAGGTCTTTGATTTTCCTCCTGGAGATAAGCACAGCTCAGTACAGCACAAATAGAGGAATGAGAAGGAGCAACAGGTCTGGAATGTAGAGAGGGGGAACAAGACCACCAAAGGCTGCCAAAGCCTTCTGACCCATTTCCAGAACACTGTGTAAAGAACAGACTGTGCATGATGACTAATTTACACAGAAATTGCAAAACTTTTCTCTAGGGCAAGGAAAACTTATCTATAAAACAGTACCCCCACCCAGGACCAGGAGGTACCCCCAAGACTCTGGACACCTAGGCAGCTGGATTGATGCTCGAGGCATGAATGGTCATGTCTCTTTCTCCCTTTCTTCTTTCTCTCTTCCCCTCTTTAATTAATTTATCTCTTTGTCTTTTCCCTGTCACTGTATTGCTTTTATACAAAACCCACTCCCATGTGCTTATGCTAGGTCAGGGACTAATGTACCAATTTCCCCACCAAGTATATAATTTACTAATAAAAGTTTGTAAGCTTTTGCAGACCTTAATTCTGCTGATCCTTTCAACCACAATCATCTATATGAATTTAGGGTGCTCCCTTCCCATTAAGGGTGAGATGCTAGCATCTCATGCTAACAATTTTACTTCCTGATTTTCTGAAGTGACAATTGCTTTCTAAATCAGCTCTCCCTTAATGAAGAAAAATTCTCAGAGCAGCTTGTTTTCTCCTCTAACTTACTTTGATTTTTTTTTTCAGGTAAAATGATAAAATCTTGGACACATTTTACGACATCAATTAACTGAAACTAGTGTATCTGTGTGTTTGCAACAGTTATACATACTTTTGAATAGAAATGCAGACTCACTAGTAATATTTTCTGAGAGGTCTCTTCTATCAGATTAGTTTAAAAACCTTCAAGTGATTGAAGTTTAAAGGATGGATCTGGATGTAAGATCAGTTAAGATTAGAGCAGTAATTCAGCAGGTCCAAATGAAGTTCAAATACATGCTAACCAGCCCTAAATTTATCCCTTCAACAGTTGCAACCTTTGCTTCATAAACAAATAGTACATATTTACTTTCTGCACTTCTTTAGGAAGATGGAGTCCGTTTCTTCTCCCCACTTGAATAGACTTCTCTAGATATCGCTTTGTTTCAGGTTTTACATTTTCAAGATCACAGGTTTGCTGAAATGACAGTATAGAAAAATTCAATTTATAACATTTACTGTATGAACCATACCAAGCATTAGAAGGGTTTGAACAGAGTTCTTCTTTAAAACACTGTCACATTAAAAAAGGAAACATTGTGGATTTTAATGTGAAGAACTTCCCTAAACAACAGTATTTTTATATTCATGTAGAATGTTTGTAAAATAATATTATTTTACCAAGTGTCTCAGCACATTTACATGCTGTCGTAATGGCAAGCCCTTCCAGTTTCCAGTATAGTGCACTTAAGCTTCTTCTGTAGAGATCGCTTTCTTTAAGATAGTAGGAGAAAATCAATGCTGTAACACTGTACCCTATAAATAAGAGGGATTGAAAAAAATAATCCCAAAAGATTAGAAGTGTCACTTAAGAATATCAGATGGCATACAATTTGAGCATATTTGTCTTCTCCAGAACCAAGATATCAGTGACAAAAACAAAACAGTATCACAGAAAATTCTGAGTTGGAAGGGGCCCACAAGGACCATGTTCTTGAATATACTACATTCACAAAATTTTGTAACTTTCCAGAACTTTTAGAACAGGTTGATGATTTTATATACCATTTCATACTTGTTTTGGAAAACCTTGCTACTTTATTCCAGGAAGAAACCTACAGGCAGAGTAAGAAACAAAATCTACTTAGAATTCCATGAACAAAACCTGAAGCAGCTCTTTATGTCAGGCTGTTTCCTGAGGGCATGTGGGTGGAGAAGACTGGCAACATTCTTAAGCATGCCTCTACTAGTCACCAGATTCACCTTTATTCCAAGTTTCAAACCTCAACATACAAGTTTTTCAAAGAGTAAGATATGGAGCACATTCAATGACATAATTTTATGCAGAAATTTTTCCCCCCAATGTGTGGGGAAAAGAAAGTGACTACATTATTTTAATATTTTCTTAAATTAAATGTAAAAACCTCATTTTTCCTCATCAACAGCTCTTAAATTAAGCATAATTTAGAAAGAGTACTATTGTTAACTTAGAAAAGTTTAGCCCCCATTAAGGGGAGCTAAAGCATTCCACATGTCACTGAGGCCAAGCAGATTTGCTCACCTCTTAGTATGCTGAGTTATAAATAACATGGAAGTGTGAGGGCCTTCATTCTCCTCACCCCATTTTAATTTGGCCCCATGAAGGATCATGAAACTGAATTAATCTACCTGAATTATTAAATCCCCAGTGAGGCCATGAAAAACCTGATTTAATCCAACTATCTGCTGCTTTTTTGAACTGGTGAAATAATTTCAGCTGAAATCTGAATTCTGTTTGTGTAAGTTCATTTTTCATGTGTTCCTGGAACCTGACTTTTTAACTGCTAGTTTCTAGGAGTCTAATGCCTCTAGGAGGAGGCATTAGAAATTTGGGAAAAATTAGCAAGAACTTTATGATTTGGAAATAGCAGTATTTGACCAGTCTGGCAATACTGGAAATTTCCTGTGTGTTTGAGAGCAAAACTCTTACTACTTTTACAGTTATTAGAAGTGGATATATACTCAGAAGTTGCATCTCAGGCAAAGTAATACTAAAACATGCTTGCATGCTGCAGTTATGAAAAATTTCTAAAAAACTTAAATGGAGACTTAAGCAAAAATTCTGTTATAAAGGTCAAAGATTGCTGCAAGGCAAAATAAAACAGGAAAACACCAAATGAAAAAAAAATTTAAGAAAGTAATAATAGTGAATAACGGTAACCAGTGTTCACTATCTACTGTCAGATTGTCCTGTAAATTAAAAATAGATAGATACACAGATATGTTACACAGTCCTCAATGTATCTGTGTATTCTACAGTGGAGGGTGGGGAAAATCCCAGTAGATAATACATACAAATCAAGCCATTTAATTACTAGCAACAGAGCAAGGGAAGGAGAAAAAAAATCAACATAAAGTACAGGGGGGAAAAAAAGTCAACAGAAGGTACTATCTGCCAGCATACAACAGAACATACTCAAAATGAGCTTATTATATACTTCCACAAACATGGAACAAGAATACCGAGCTAGAGGAGAACACTTGAAAGTTTCCCTGCAAAACACAGCAAAATAAGACAATGGTAATGGAAGGTACTTTAGTATGGTTCTGCAAACATGATTCTGATTCCTGGTCAAGCCCACAAAAAACACAAATGGTGACTCCACGAAATAGGCCTCTAATATCTTAGAAGCATTACAAGAAGATTAAAATTCACTGGAGTTGAGAGGAAAAAAATCACATATAAAACAGAAAAACACATATTTTTTCATTATCACATTAGATAGCTTTCTTGCATTATCCTTACATTGCACTTTTAAGAAAATTACTACTAAATGTTACCAGACATATTGGAACAAAACCAAATATTCTTTCTGTTTGAGCTACAAAAAAAACAATACAAATGAAGAATATGAGATACCTACAGGTGTTCAATTAAAAGAGAAGCTAAACAGAAACACAAAGGGGATAGAAACTAGTTCAACAGTAAATGTATCTTAACATAGTTTTATTTTCAGGCTGAAGAAACAGATGAAGAAGAGGATACAAGGTAATTGTCTATAATTAGCTGATGAAAAGAGGTAATCTCAGAGGTCAATCCCATTTATATGTTCTCATTAACCTTCTAACTTAAAACTGCTTTTAAATTCAAAATTCTCAGTATTTTCAATAATGCAGAATTTTGGACACATATTCAAAAGCGGTATAAGCCAATGTAAGTATACTGCTATATTGCCTCTTTTCTTTCTTCCCTCCTGGAACAAGCTCGGTCAGAAGAAAACAAAAAAAAAAATTCCTAATAGGTTTCTGTCTTTTAGTTTAGATTCCTTGTATCATTTCTTTGGAAGACTAGACAAAAGTCAAAGCTAGTGCAATGGAGAGAGAAGGATACACAGATCTAGATATGAGAAAGAATAGGAACAGCAGAAACAGATGTTTTCTGCTGTATTGCAGCGTTCCACTGGAAAGACCTGAGTGGCACAGAGACAGAGGAAACATAAAGTCATCTTGAAAAGCATTGTGAATACAAATTAATTTCAGATAAATTTAGATACATGTCACAACTAAAGCAGATATACTGTTATTTACCTGTAAATAAACAATCTTCTGAAACACGTCTTCTCTCATGCTCATCTCCACATCAAAATTTGACAGTTTTTTGTCAGCTTCTGTACTTGCTAAGCGTATCTCTTTGTCAGTGGAGACGTGCTGGGGAAAATCCAACATGCTTCTTTCCACTGTTTAAATAAGATGTATCAAACACAGAAGAATAGACATGCTTTAAGGATCTTTCCCTCTTCTGACATTTATAAAAGACATAAGAAAAAATTATCCAGAGCAACCTAACACATACAGCATATAAAGTGATTATAAGTAATATAAAACTGAAGAGGTTAAAAGGACAAAACCACACACCATTTTAACAAATAAACTTTTTACAGAAGATTTCTAAACCCCAAGCCTAATTATCTCACCATCTTCTACAAAATCAGCTGATTGGTATATAAATACATTAGAAATGCTTCATCTTCCAAAAGCCATGTAAGTGAAGACTGACATTTCATAGCTGGCACACATGCTTCTGTGTTAGCATTTAAAGTCAGAAGCTCTGAATCTTTCAAACATGCCCATCTGTCCTGAAGTTATTTTTGAATTGTTATGAGCACAGTGTCAAATCCCCATGTACTGTACTCTTCTGTGTTTAAGGAGAAACAACATGGCAAACAGGGAAAATGCTGTCCATGCATTCTGAACTTCTAGAGATTGGAAGCTGAGTAATATTACATTTCTAGAATATACTTCTGAGACTAAGTAAATCCTTGATATTTAAGGAACATGACATCTTCAAAGACATTGAATAGATATCCTAAAATAGAAATTAATTTGCTTAATTAAAAATCAAATTATATGTCTTTATCATCTACCTTTCCAAAAGTGGTTTTTAGAATAACAACATATTCGGCTGATTTAAAGCTTTGTAATTTTATGTGATGTGCAGTAATTTTATCAAGCTCTGAGACAGATTCAGAAACACAACCATGGACATGTGATTCTTTTTGAAGTACTTAGAAAACTTCCCCTTTCACCTCCTACCTTTATGCCAAGATGTTTCAAAATTATAAAGTGAATTTTGGCAGCTTCCAAGTGAAATTTAAGTTCTATTGTCATCTCTGTCTTTTTGAACAGTAAGTTGCAGTTACTGGGGTAGGCCTTTTATGTGAAAGGGACACACAGGCCTTAAATTCCAATGTTCTTATGGAAGTTTTGCTGTGGTAATACATCCCTCTCATATGCCGTGGGCTGTTTCACAGCAGGTCATGATAATTTCATATATAGCTTTGAAGATTAGAATTAAAACCTTAAAAGTGACCTACTACTGCAACAGTATGTAGTGAAAAAAGTACATCTTCGCAGCCATGCTCAAAAGTTGATGGCCACTGTTTTCTGAGTCCAACACAGATTTTCCTTCTGTTAATCTCTTTGGTGAGAAGACTTAGAATAATTGTACCAAATCAGTATATTGGTACAACTAAAGCTGAATCTGGCAGCAGGCTTTTTAAATGAAGATTACTATCTGAATATGTCAGAAAAAATTCCAGCCAATTCACCGGATGTGCAATTTTAAGTAATGCGAAATCCAGACTAGTATTACATTTGAGATGCCAGCTTTTTTGCTATTCAAAGATTTTGCTCCAGCCAAGGTAGCTTCTTCTAGCACCTCTGTGGCCACTAAAGATTTTTTTTGAGTATTTAAAAGAATTTGACATCTATTACACTCACTGTTTTATAAGTAATGCAGCCACCATCTGAAAGGTTTTTCTCAACAAAGACATGCAATATGCAGTTTGTATTTTACCCATCTCCTCTGACAATTATTAACAAATAAACTGAATGACCTGAGTTTGACCATTAAACCCCATCTTAATATTGCTATGGATTGATAATTCATTCAGAACAATCTAGCTGTGACTGTATGACCAACCTCTCCCTGGATTCTTCAAGACCTCACAGGCCACAATTTAAATGTAAGCAAGTAAAGAAGTCATCTTTCAACAGCACATTCATAAATTCCTCATCATCGTATTTTCTCCACTAGCAGTTTATCAGCATCTCCATTACTCCATTCAACTTGCTTGTGTCAGATTCTGCAGTGTCTGAAAAAAACACTGCTTACTATGTGTAATGCACTATGCATACCACAGACGCTGCAGCCTACACTGCTGCAGTGTCCCCTGGCAGCTGCACGTGGTTGGAAATGTAACCGTGTGGAGCGTCACATGCAAAACCAAAACAGGTGACTAAATGCAGTTCTCTGGGAGCTTCCAAAAGATTGTTAGGACCAGAGAACTCTTCAGAGGCCTCTACACATTCTACACAAGAACAGCAGAGATCAAAATTGGAAGCAACAACTATTTTTTCCCCATGTTTCCTTATGTGCAGATGGCATATGGAATGCCTTATGCAAAGAAATACAGAAAACACATGCTAACCTGCATATTCTACTTCTATATCTGCCAAAGCCCTTACAGTATTTTCATGTGTTACTTCTTCGATTTCAAGCATCCCGACACTGTCATATACATGCTTTGTCTTCCTGATAAGTTCTTCTGTTCTTTTTCTAATTTCCTCTGGTGACAGGTCCCATCTCAAAAGGTTTCGTCCTGATGCTATGTATGAAGAAGCCTTGAGCTGGCTAGTAATTTCTGCTCCTAATGTCATTCTCAACACAAGCCGTGGCCCAATGGACCTGAAAGTATAAAAAATATCTTTGCATAGCAAGATTCCAGTTCAATAGACAGTTTATAGTAAACATTAAAAAAACAGCATCAGAATATTTTTAGAAGGAAGAACAAAGTCCTTTTTAGAGCTGTTATCTTTATAAATTAAGTTTAATTTTTAAATAAATCTCTCTCATACCTTTTCCATTTAGAGTATGACTAAGTGCAAACAGGGACAAAAACTTTCATATTGACAAAACCATACAGATTAAATTATGACTCAGCCTTCTAAGGAAAACAGCATTGCAGTTACCGGAACTCTAGAGAAATAGACAGTACTAGCATTTTTGAAGTAAGGAATAAAACTCACATAGTTATTTTCAGATGACAAAGAACAAGAACTGCAAAGTTGCACAAAATAAGACATAAAAAATATCACTTGATTGTACCCATTATAGCAAATAATTTTGTATTTATACAGGATGTCTGCCACATAATCAGCATGGGAGGAAACTTAGCTGTTACTCACTTGCAAATTTTCTCCTTTAATTGTGTTTGATTTTAAATAGACAGTTTCACTCTTTTACCAGAAGAGGTACATTTCTTTACTATGATGTTTTAATAATCCATGAACTATAGTTCTAATCAACTTAAATTCAGTTGATTTAATTTCTTTAAAATTAAGCTTGCATTCAAGTAGTCAAAATTCCTCCAGTGTTTACTATCATAGGAGGATTCCTGGCTGTCATATATTTACTGTCTTCCTATTTCTGCCACGTAATTAAAAGAAATTAAAAAAAAAAAAAAATCACATTATAGTAATAATGACAACTTAAAATTTTCAGCCATAACTGAAGAAATACACAGAGATCTTGCTAATAAAGGCATGTTTACTTAACACTGTTTTACACTAAGTAAGTTTTTCCTCTTAACACTAGCCATTGTACCTTTATTGATTTTATTGTAAAACCTGTCTGGTATGTGCATAGGTGCACAGAAAGGTTTTGGCATACAATGCAGGGAGCATGCATAAAAGCCAGTTTTAGCCTGAAGGAATAACAAAACAGAAGAGTGAAATGCCAGCAATCTGAAGGGCTGCACACATGGCTTCTGTTTGAAGGAAGGCAAAACTTTTTGTCAAAAGTCTTCCAATTCTATAATAGAATTTCTCTAGAAATAGACTAACCAAAATTATTTGATGCAAGACAAAAACAAAAGACGACATTTCTATCTATGCTTTATGCTGAAACTTTATTTTCCTTGTTACCACAGATTCTTCAAATCTATTGATTCCAATGTGGGCAAGTTGTTTACTTTTCCTTTCAGTGCCATACAGAAACATCATGGTCCACAATATTGACGATTTCACTTTGAAAATGAAGCGTGCATAAAAAACATTTGTTCCACCTCCTCTGCTCTTTTTCTCTAATACCGAGTTCTGGCACTAAGGCTTTAGTAACTTCTCACTGGGCTACTGAAACTTTGAATTTCAAATAGAAGTTTAACATAAATGAAGCTTCTGTCACGAATGTAAATGCTTAAGTAATAACATTCTTGGGTTAGTTTCTCATCCCCAGAATCTACTGAACTCTACCTGAATCTCCAAATCCATTAAAGAACAGTACTTCATTAAGTCATGAACAGATTCTCAGTGGACTGTCCTGTGTCTAGTTTTTCACATACTGCTAGCACAGGTCTGGTAAAACCTTTTGGGAAGTAAAGGGGAAGCTCCTCAGAAACACATTCATGGCTCTGAACTCTACCCCACACCACCCACATCCAAGAACATCAGAAAGACTACACAATGTTTCAAACTGAAGTCAAAATAAAAGTCAAATGGAGCCAAAGAAAAACAACAACCTGAGCAACATAAAAGTATGATAAAGTGAGGGATACTAAGCAGATATTCTTTTTAAAAAGAACCTATTGGTTTTGGTCATTCAGTATCTTCACCTAGAAATACAGACAATACAGCCCTGCCAATGATAAATTGCATATCATCTGAAACAAACACTAAAACAGTCACAGCACCAACATACTGCATTCATTTATATCCATCCATATTACCTCCAGCCTGCCCAACAAGATTTATTAATAATTAAAGTTGGACTGAGTTCATGAACTGGAATGTATGGTCTCAGATTACCAGAGAGCACAATTTTTAAATACTAAAAGATGCCATCTGATTTTCTTAGTATATTGGCTAGTTTAATTAAGAGATATACCTATAAACTTGAGAGCTGTATAAATTATTGGCATAAATACCAGCAAGTTGTTGACTACCTATTAGAAACAGAAAAACCAGAACTGCCCAGTTTTGAAATACTAATACCTTGTTTGCTTCTGCTGATAGGAAGATGCAGTCATTTGCGTAGATCAAAAATGGCAGTACAAATAAGGTTGTTTTTCTAACTGACCAAATGAGACCATGGGCTTTCAAAAACTGTACTATAACATTTTATATAAAATCAGTTGCTACACATAATTCTTCAAATGATCATTTACAGACATGTTGCTTCCTTGCTACCAGTCACTCAGACTGTAGTAAGAACTAAAATAACTGACATCAGCTCAGTAAAAAACTGTGCAAGTAAATATATATGCACAGGTGAAATCTTGGTCATTTCTTTCATGGTTTAGTGTTTTGAATTATTTATCTACATAAAATGATAAATAAATAAATTCCCGAAACTCTGTATCAGACTGCAATATTTTAATAACTTTGCTCAAAGAGAAAACAAAGAAACAATGCCAGGGGAACCTTTAACTTTCCAGACTGGAATATAAATTCTATTTATAATGCTAGGAACCAGATGCAACAGCAAAGAGTTTCCTCAAACACTGAACCACGCAGATACTAATATTATTTTAGACTTGCTTTTGGTAAACAGTACAAACATTACAGAACAGACAATTACTGCTTGCATGGAGCAATCAGAAGTTGATTCAGTTTAAATTAGATGGAAGGATGTAGCATCCTGCATAGGCTGTTGCTAATGCCTGAACCGTTTGGTTCAAACTGTTTCCGATATCACACTCTGTTTTCTCTGGTGTAGCGTAGAACACTAGAGTTATCTAAACAAGCCTGGTTTAAGTATAAGGTTCATATCCTGCAACAGTATTGCTTTATCACGTTTCTCTCAGTGCTCCTCCCTCCATTGCTCTTTTCTGCCCCTGTACCTCACTCCATCAATGGCATCAGCACAACTGTTGCTAGGGTTATACCTAGGAAATATTCAGGACAGTATATAGGTGAAAAATTAAGTGGACCAAAAGCATCCAGGGGTGACAGCTTTTTACCAGGTAATCGGTCCCATCACCCATTTGATGAATGACTTCAAAACAGCTATGTCGGCCTACACAAAGTATCAGTAAAGTCAACAGTCAGTAGCAACCTAAACTTGCACTACTGCTAGAAACACATATGAAATAATGAATTTAGTCTAGCAAAGAGAGTCTCGAGATGATTGCTGCCATTAAGCATACCATTTAAATTTCCTAAAGTAAAAAAAGCTATTGATGCTAAGAAGTAATACAGACATAAGAACAATTAAGAATAAATTGGTCAGGAATACACAAAAGCTAGACTTGCAACAGACATTTCCAAGCATCAGCACAGTGAGATTTCAGACACTGAAAAAGATGTCTAGTAAGTCCTAGCAAGTAAAAACATCTCTATTTATAACATGGTGACTGACCAGCTTATAAAATGGGTTACGTTACTTGGTTACCTAAGGTAGCATGGGACTAGATTTGATCTCCACAAATGCCCTTCCAGTCTCTGTGTTTCTGTGAGGTCCTTCAAAATTACCAAAAGTTAATTTGTATTGCATTTTTGCAGTAGATATATAAAACTGGTCTCTGCTGGCAACTTGCACTGGCCTTTTTCTGGGTTGAGTCCTCTAGCATCTAATAATGTAAATGGAATGACATACAGGGCAGACAAATATTTTATACATTTGTGCAATGCTTCATCCATTTAGGTGAACATCAGGAGGAAAAGCACACAAATTTTCATCTGGACTTTCACTTATAACAGAGATTATTATAGACACAGCTGTTTACACAAATTATGGTGAAAACAGCTAATTTGCCAATCCCAAAATCAGTAAGAATGGAATTTTCTACCAAAAGCAGACTGAGTTGGATAACACTTAAAAACCTAGTAGCTACTTCTAAATGAGAATTTTAAAGAATAAAGCAAAGCTTCTAACTTGCAGACTGCAGTAATAGCAGAATGCCAGGTAATTTCTTTTACCAATAAATCTGCAATTTGATTAATTGCTGCTTCTGGAAAATATAAATTTGATTTGATTTTAGAAAGGGGAAGAACCTTTATAATACACTATTACAGCAATACAGTGGCCAACATGGCTGCTGCAAAGACAAACAATGCAATTGAATTTACAGACTTGATTTTTAACCTGTGCAGTATCTTACACATACTAAACATTCATGTAAGTCTGGCTTTGCTTAGAAACATTTCCCATGACTTAGATATGTGCCTTTGGTTTGAGTTAATTATGCTCCATTAACACTATTAAAATAAAACAAGAAAGCCACAATCTGTGAAGAAGCAGCAGGGAGCCATAGCACCAGCTTTAGAAAATACAGACAAAACACAACATGTTTCTACTACTGAGAATCACTATATATTACAGTCAAGATTTAAGCCTGCTGTCTCATTTAAGCCTGATTACAAACTGACAGTTTTAATTCCATCAAAGACTCTTTAATAGCACTTTCAGTTTTCAAATTAATCTTCACCTAAACTGCATTAGTTACAATGGCAAGTATAATTTTATGGAATGAAGTAAATTAACTAATAAATTTCTGGGAAAAAACATATACAGACCAATTTATTGTATTTGCAAATAGATTTGACAATACCAGGTAGCCACACAAAAATCAAGGTATACTGGATTCATGCAGGATGGAAAATTATATTCTGTTCTGAAAAAAGACCTGAAACAACAGTGTCAGAAAGTGAAGTGAAAGCCAAGATTTTAAAAAGTGAGAAAGACAGAGG